TCATCACTATGTTTCAGATAAAAATAGAAATTTTAACTATAGATTTTCTTGGCTAGTTGCTTTGGTGAGGTTAAATGCGGTCTTTAATTTAGACTGACTTTTGATAAAAAAATTCCGATTCCGACTTTTTTCTATCAAAGATTTTGGTGAGAAAGATTTTAAATTAACTTATTATATTAAGGATACATTTCAACGCCGATAAAGTCGCCATGTAAATTATTAAGGTTTTATTACTTTTTTAAATAACTAACAATCTCTTATAAATAATTTAGGTAATGGCAAAAATAAAGTGATTTTAATGAAGCAATGCTGTGTAATAGTATAGTTCACAAAAAGCTCCAAATTAGTTATTTTTATAGATAACTTACATAAATGGAAGTAATCGTTACATGTATTATTGAAAAAGTTTTTTTAATAAATACCTAAACAAATAATTTTAATAAAATGCCTACGAGTATTCTAAGGCATATTAGGGTATATTTTTAGTACTAACATCAGAAGTAGGTATATGAACATTAAATTACTCATACGCCAATAGGTCCAAGGCTTCGACCGACTGATCGAGCGATTGATCGACTGACTGGTCGACCAATCAGTCGATCAGTCAGTGAATCAGTCAGCCAGTCAGTTTCTTACTTTATATATAAAGTCTATATATATAGATATATAGACTTATATATTCTTCTTCTTCTTCTCCCTGCCCATTTCCCAAATCACTTGGGGTCGGCGCAGTACATCTTCAGTGTACTACTGATAGGATTTGGCAAAAGTTTTACGACCGGCCGCCTGCCTGACGTCAACCCTCCTTGGGAAATAGACTTATATATATATATATATATATATATATATATATATATATAATATATATATATATATATATATATTAGATATATAGACTTATATATTCTTCTTCTTCTTCTCCCTGCCCATTTCCCAAATCACTTGGGGTCGGCGCAGTACATCTTCAGTGTACTGCTGATAGGTTGGCAAAAGTTTTACGACCGGCCGCCTGCCTGACGTCAACCCTCCTTGGATAGACTTATATATATATATATATATATATATATATATATATATATATATATATATATAGATTTTGAAGCCTTGAACCTATTAGCGTATGAGTACGACGTACGATGAGGAGTATAAGAGACGAAATCTTTATCACTAAAGTTATTTTGATAGTAAAAATCTAAATCTCCCTAGACCGACTGGTCGACCGATTAATCAATCGATTAATTGATTGATTGTTTGAACGCGCTAATGTTAGGAACTACTAATCCGGTTTGACAAATTTTTGTATTAGATAGCCCGTGTACTTAGGTAGGCTATACGCTCTTATTGCTCATATATCATATAATATATAGACTATCGATTCAATACTAATAATACTAATCGTTAGAACGTACCTAGGGACGAACCCGAACGAAGCAAGGGTGAGCCGCTAGTGTACCTTCTAATAAAATAATGAATTCTCACAACATTATAACGATTTGCTAAACAAATAAAACAAATAAAAACATTTTCTCATAAAGAACTAACTCACGACCAAATCCATTATACGTATGAAATATTATATTGTGTCGACACGCGACTTTTAATGGTTTAATATGTGTATTATAGGACAATAGTGAATGGGATATAAAAAATGGGTGACATTGATATCATAATCAAAATATGAAATTATGGGGGAGCTCGAGAGGGATTTCGCCTCGTGTTTGCTTTTGAAGGACAGTTTATGAAATTGATAGTTTATTTTATCATTGTAGTGCTAAGATTATGATTATTAATTAATTTTAGTTAGGGCATAAATAAAATAATATTTATTTATTGTTATAACTTACGAACTTACAGCTTTATTAGCTTTTGTATAAAAGTTTATTTTAAAGTGTAATCTTAAATTTCAACTAATTAATGTATATTTAAATATTATATTATACAGAGTCATAAATTCTTATTTCTTCATATCCTTATATAATAATATCCTATATCCTTATAGTAAATATATCCTTATAGTATAAGGAGGAACTAATATGTAGAATCTGGGTAGTTTATATTATATTCCTTTAAGTCGTTCCCACAATGGCATTGTAAGGCAGTCGGTACCAGACGCCACTTCGACATTCGCACGAAATAAAAATTCGATAAAAAACGCGATCAACACGTGCTGGAGCATTATTTGATAACCGTCGGGGGCGGTATTTAGATCATTGACGACAACCCTTATTTTACTACTGATTTCCCTAATAAAAAATATACTTTATTCCCTTATAATAAGGTTACAATTACCATAAACACTTATAAATTCATCTAAGAATGACCAATTAAAGTAAAACGGACTTTAAAATAGAGTAGTAGAGTACTATTTTGTTTATTATATTTGTATGGTTTTTCTAAATAGGGTTGCCAGAAGATTTCTCTATTTATTGGTGGGAATGGCCGCGTGTCAGAACTAACACCCGTTTTAATATTTTCGGTCACGTGACCGCCACGCGTTGGCCTTTGGTAAAAAACTGGACGCGAGTAATTCGCATTTTATTGTAGCATTTTACTTGTTAATTTTATGGCATATATTTTTTGCGGTTAATGGTATAGGGACTGTGTGTAATTATTTGTAATTTAACTGATTTCGAATGGAACTTAACTATGTGGAATCCATGGTGTTTTAAACTTGGCTGCGTCTTGTAAAGTGAACTGATTGTAATTTTTAGCTATTGTCATTTTTGATGGGAGTAATTTAAATGCTCAAATTAAAATGAATCATTATGCACAATTTATGTACATATATATTTAATAAATATGTACGGTTTAACATGTAGGCAAGTTAGATATTGTAAGAGTTTTATGTCTTTTGATAAAAATAAAACAGTAATGATAGTTTTTAAGATTTCGTGGTGGTTCTTTGCCACTTCAGAATAAGATAAATAAAGCTAGCCACTGAAACCTAGCTAAGAAAAATGTCACTTACAATCACCCGAAAATTGGCTAAGTGCGTGTCGGAGTACGGTCTTACTCAATATATTGCGTAGAAATAGAAAACTCTCTGCAGTAAATGCTGACCAGTAGTCACCAGTATTTGTGAAAAAGACTTTTTTTTTATTCATGATGGCATTGGGTTTTAGTCTATCGAACTCAATTACGGTTGGGACATTCCCACCGTGCCCACAACGATGGTTCCGCGCTTGCCTAGACATGACAAAGATCTCATATATCGATGCTAGAAGTAACATTGATTACAATAACTTAATAAGAAATAACCGAAGATATTTATAGTATTTTAATTTATAGTTAAAAAATATAAGCTATTTTATCTCAAAAACTATACGTGAAATTTAACTAAATACTTTTAATATAATTAGAATATTATATTATATTAATATAAAGGAGAAATACAAATGATTACTTAGTTTTGAAACTAAAAAAGCAATGTTGTCTAAAAGTTAATTTGTTCTTACTAACGCCATCTTGTGTCAAGTTTCAAGAAATTCAAACGTGACCTAAACTAAGCTTGGCAGAATTTATTTATAATTTATGATTTCATTTTATATAATAAAATATATTTTATTATTTATTTCAAGTTCAATATATTTTATTTATATTATTTTTTGTGTATAACTTATTGTATAGACAAGCTGAACTTAGGAATAGCTTATAATTATTAGACTAATAGTGTATTAAAGTAAATAACTACAAAAATACAGGTGAATTTTAAATTAAAAGTTGAATAGTATAAATTTTTCATGTTTATTTTCTCGATTCTACATATAATAAAACTCTATATAACAACATAATTATACTATATTAAAAAACTCCAAAATAATCTATATAAATTATAAATATATTTAATAAGATTAAGATAAATAAAATAAAGTACATTTTACAGTATAACTAGCGCCATCTGTTGTTGGTTTTCCTCAGAGTCGCCCCAAAGGGCAAAGGGCCTATTTCCGTCCACGTGGCGATCACAATGAGATATGACAGCGATATTCAAGCGATATAATGGCATCTTCATTATATGGGATTATTTACACTGTGCGCAGGAAATTACCTTTTATGAATCTTAGATAGGGGGATAGAAATTTTAATATCATTTCATATTTTAAAAAATCTATTAAAATATGAGAAATAAAATTTTTAAATGTTAAATTGTTTTTTTAATTATATTAACTCTTTTATTAATTACTAAGAGACTCACCCTCGCTCCGTTCAGGTTCGTCCCTAGTTACCTTTTAACGTTTAAGTAGTATAGATTTCTCAGAGATTAGATATTTCCCGCAGTAAAAAGGATCCTATATGTTGACCCGGATACTTTTTAATTATTTATAATATTGGTCACTTTTTAATTATTTTTAATATTGTTTAAATATTTCCTTTATTTTTATCCGTCTCGTAATGGACCATGAAGAGGGCTAGAGGTGTATAAATTAATTTGGTAATAATCGCGGGTGATGTGGCGATGATAAAATAAAAATCAACCGGTCAGTAAGGGGCTTTAATAGCAATTGACAATGATTCTGCAAAAAGAGATACAAATGGCGAAGCGCCTGATTAATTTTGACCGCAATAACTTTGTTATACAAAAAATTGCTTATAACTAACTTAAACTAAATTACGGAAGCGTAAACAACCAGCTATCATTATACCAAATTTCATCAAAATCTGTCCAGTGGCTTTCTCGTGATACGTTCCCAGATAGACAGACAAAAAAAATTAAAACTATAGAATCGGCCTCTGTATCGATAATAATGACTATATCAATAAGATTTCCCAAAAAAATATTCACTGTACAGATTCGACTCAGAATTTTATCATTTATGTATTGAATATAGATGTATAGATGAAACAACAATTTGAAAAAGTAATAATCGAAAAGTTAGGTTTAAATGAAAAATAATAATAGGTACATCTAAAGTATATTTATTTTATTTTTGCGTACTAAATATTTATTACTTATAACTAAACATTTCTACTTTATTTACACAACAAAACACAATATTTCAGTCAGAATCCGATAAAGGAACGCTTTCCTGAAAAAGAAAAAAAATCATTAAATCAAGTTACTTTAAAAGTAACTTATAGAAAAAAACACTAAATATAGGTGTCCATTTCAAACATCACGTAATTATATGTAAAAAAAAACAGATTTATGGGAAAATTTGACATTTTAAATAAAACGATCGATATTTTTTTGTAGGTTTTAAGGTATCTAGGGTACCAAAAATCAAACTAAATCCGCAAAAAATCCGAAAAAAAAGTTCTATTTAAAATATACTCCTATAGAAAATAAATATCATAGAAATAGATTATATATTTATTTATTTATGGGATTGATTAGTCGTAATGACGCCGTTATCATGTATATTCTTACACTGAATAGTGAGGGACGTTTCAGGTCGTCAATTCAATACCCGTAAGAGATATTAATAGCCCGATATATTTTTTTGCAAATGTTATATACTGCGCAGTAACGAAATAACCGCTAAAGCTATACCAGACTCGCGGGACTGGACTCGCCAATTCACGAAATTATATTTTTTCACAATTTCAACTTGCCAAAAAGACCTTCCCAAAATTCGTCGCCAGCTCTCGGAATATAAATGGATAATATTAAGCGGATCATTTTAAAAACTATATATTAATAGATATTTATGTAAACTTAAAATTACTTCCAATTTCCTGATGAAAATATCTGAATCATTAGAGGCTTGGTCGATGTTGTCCGCTGTAGTTATTTGTGGGCCTGTAAAGTAAAGGAATATTTTTTTCTATACATATGTTTATGTATACATATACATATAATAAAATTGTAACTAAACCGAATCTGTATATTAAATATTTTTTGGAAAATCTTATTGAAATAAACATTATTATCGATACAGAGGCCGAATCTATAGTTTTTAGATTTTTGTCTGTTTGTCTATCTGTCTGTCTGTTACCGCATCACAGAAAAACTACTGGAGAGATTTTGATGAAATTTGGTATGATGATAGCTGGTCGGGAAATGCATTTACGCATACCACCTGATCCCCCAGGTGGTGATGTGGGGCTCACCGGCTAGAAGATTTGTTTACAAGGGACACATTTTACATTAGGTTCCTTGATAACACATTCACTTGAACTTCGAAGTGAAGCGGGTTCAAATCTAAGTCTCGCTTCTCTGAGATTTCCATCCATGTTAGAATCAATTTCTACATGAATACCACTACTCTCTCTGCGCACCATCTGCACTTAAGAAGGTTTAACTTTTCGGAAGCCATGTGAAGTCCGCGTTTTTATAGTATTTGCTTCGAATATAAACATAAAGTATTGTGATGATAAGCAAAGCTCACCTAGAGGAATACATCCCATTGGTTCGAAGAGGTCAAGCGAAATGAGGTCCGCGGGCGGCGTACAAGCGCGACCTATACAAAATTACCAATAAATATAATCATTATTTATATGAAAAACACTAATAGAGATCTATTAGTTCCCACGGGAACTGTTTATTTCTCCGGGATGAAAAGTAACCTGTTCTTTGAGCGTTAATATAAGGTATCAGAATGTTAAATTTAACTAAATTAGGTGCATAAGTTGTTGTGTACTAAGCTGTATAAGTTATTATAGTTTTTTAACTATCCCACGGGAACTATTTTATTTTCCGGGATAAAAAGTATCTAAGATGTTGCCCGAGAATATAAGGTACCACCATGCAAAATTTCATTTAAATCGGTCTAATAGATTCGGAGATTAGCCCGTACAAACAGACAGAGAAACCAAAAAATTAAAAAAAAAATGGATTTGTTCTACTTGTCTTCTTATATCCCCCTGACTCGGTTTTCAGCTTTTTTTTGCTATGTACAGACATTCAACCTCTACTGTTTTATTATAGTATAGATAGATACAGATGTTTAGACCATGAGGTAAACTATACTAGGACACTAAGAGGACATATTTATGTTTTTGCTTGTTTGTTTGAAGCGAATAGGCTCCAAAACTACTGAATCGATTTCAGAGTCAATTAATGGTAAAATTAATAATTTACAATTTCGCCGTTTCCGTCTGTTCGGCGGTCTATTTGACACATTCTGTAGCTATAACTCAGAAGGCTAATTTTTGCTTAAAAAGCTATTGTTGTATGTATGTATTCAGCCCTTTTTAACGTGCCACTGCTGAGCACGGGCCTCCCCTTCAATACGAGGGGGATCAGGCCATAGTCCACCACGCTGGCCAAGTGCGTGTTGGCGGACTGAGGACTGAAACTGTATCTGTAACTGAAACTGAAACCTGTAACCTGTAACCTGTAACCTGTAACCTGTGACCTGTGACCTGTAACCTGAAACCAGTAACCTGAAACCTGTAACCTGAAACTGTAACCTGTAACCTGAAACCTGTAACCTGAACATCTATACGGCCCCGAAGTCATATCGTCCCATCGGCCTCCTACCAGTACTTGGGAAGATTCTGGAAAAGATGCTTGTAGCCAGAATGCAACATCATCTTGGACCCAAGCTCAGTATTCGTCAGTTTGGCTTTATGCCCCAACGAAGCACAGAAGACGCCCTTATGAAGCACATTAAAAATAATCTGGATGACAAGAAGATTTCATTGGATATCGATGATTTCATTGGATATCGAGAGCGCATTCGACAACGCTTGGTGGCCTAAAATAAAGGTCAGACTGGCTGAGGAGAAGTGCCCCACCTACATCCGACAGCTCTTGGAAAGCTACCTGAGTGATAGGTACGTCACCGTTAGGTACTGTGGAGAAGAACATAGGAAACGCACCGAGAAGGGATGTGTGCAAGGATCTATCGGCGGACCCATTTTGTGGAACTTACTCCTGGATTCATTGCTTCGCGACTTGGAGGCCAGTGGCGTTTACGTGCAAGCGTTCGCCGACGATGTAACTGTAACTGTAACTGAAACTAAAACTGTAACCTGAAACCTGAATTCTGAAACCTGAAACCTGTAACTGAAACTGAACTGAACTGAAACTGAACTGAAACTGAACTGAAACTGAACTGAAACTGAACTGAAACTGAACTGAAACTGAACTGAAACTGAACTGAAATTGAACTGAAATTGAACTGAAACTGAACTGAAACTGAACTGAAACTGAACTGAAACTGACTGAAACTAAACTGAACCAGAACTGAAACTAAAATGAAACTGAACTGAAACTGAACTGGAACTGAACTGAAACCGAAACTGAACTGAAACAGAACGTAAACAGAACGTAAACTGAACTGAAACTGAACTGAAACTGAACTGAAACTGAACTGAAACTGAACTGAAACTGAACTGAAACTGATCTGAAACTGAACTGAAACTGAACTGAAACTGATCTGAACTGAACTGAAACTGAACTGAAACTGAACTGGAACTAAACTGAAACTGAACTGAAACTGAACTGAAACTGAACTGAAACTGAACTGAAACTGAACTGAAACTGAACTGAAACTGAACTGAAACTGAACTGAAACTGAACTGAAACTGAACTGAAACTGAACTGAAACTGAACTGAAACTGAACTGAACTGAACAGAAGCTGAAACTGAACTGAACTGAACTGAACTGAAACTGAACTGAACTGAAACTGTACTGAAACTGAACTGAAACTGAACTGAAACCAGGGTATGAAATTATTATACGTAGCTTTCCACTCTTACGCAGCACTTCTACTTGTGCCTTATTCTGATTCCACTGGACATATCAACAATTATGATGATTTGGTAAGAATATAACCTATATATAAATAGGTAAAGACAAAATACTTCAGTACCTTTTTCTCGTCCGTTTGCATTCGACTTTCTTTTGTGTTATTTGTTAAATACCTCTTGACGAGCTTTAGTATTACAAAAAAAAAAATCTAAATTCACTTATTTTCCTCAAATTTTTAATAATGATTATGGTCAAATTTTGAACACTCGGAGACATTAATTTTGTAAATTAGCTTCAGTGGACCTAGTTTTACAGTGATGACCGCTTACAATACATATTCTACGTGTACAATACTTACATAATATGTTTTAATATATATTAGTCAAGGTATAGTAATTTTTTATATAATTTTGTGTAGAGTCGTTAAAATATTTATAACCAGTTATTGTATCTTCCCGGAAAAAGAAAGATTTTTTTGAAGTAAAAGGTATCCTAAACGAAGACTCGAGTAATAAGTTATCACTTCACCAAATTTCGTTGAAATCGATTCATAACTTTTTGCGTGAAACGCGCATACAAAAACAGACAAACAGACATACAGACAAACAGACATTTTTTTTAATAACTATTGTTTTGGGGTCTATTTTGTGTACATAATACGTTACAAATAAACGAAAACATCTATCCCACGGGAGCCGTACATTATTCCGGGATAAAATGTTATTCTGATGTACAACCTATATTCTCGTAAAGTTTCATCAAAATCCAATCAGTAGTTTTTGTGTACTAAGCTGTTTAAGTTACTATAGTTTTGTGACTGTCCCACGGGAACCCTTTAATTTTCCAGGATGAAAAGTAGCCGATTTGTTATTATCATGTATGAACTATATTATATTATTGTAAAGTCTTATTAAAATCGAATCAGTAGTTTTTATGTACTAAGCTGTATAAGTTATTATAGTTTTTTAACTATCCAACGGGAACTATTTAATTTACCGGGATAAAAAGTATCTAAGATGTTGCCCTGGGATATAAGGTACTACCATGCAAAATTTCATTCAAATCGGTCCAATAGATTCGGACCGTACAAACAGACAAACAGACAAACAGACAAACAGACAGAGAAATAAAAAATTGAAAAAAATCTGGATTTGTTCTGTTTGTCTTCTTACATCGCCTGCCTCGGTTTTTAGCATATTTTTGATATGTACAGACATTCGACCTCTACTCTTTTATTATAGTATAGATGTACTAAAACTAAAATGCTGCTTGGGTGACTAGTTAATTTGGCTAATTATTATTATTTTAATTTATCCAAATAAGGTTTTTTTTTGCCATTAACACACAGCACCATCTAGTTCCATAGTAAGCTACGAGGGTTGTGTTATGGATACCGGATAGTTGATACACTACACATATATAACTTTAAATACATACACATTAAAAATATAAACATCCATGACTGGAGTACAAACATTCGTGCTCATCGCTTAAATGAATGCCCCCAGCGGGACTCAGACCCGCGACCGCTGGCACAGCAAGTATGGTCACTACAAACTGAGCCATACGTGTCGTCAAGTGTTTGTTTGTTTTTGTCCATCTGTGTACTAAATTTCATCTAAATCCATCTAGCCGTTCCAGCTTGTTATTGTTCCAGTGAAAAGAAACAAACACATACATATTTCAATGTTATAATAGTAGGTTCCTTTTTTTTTAACGTTGGGAAATGCATTTACGCACGACATGTGGGACTGACCGGCGTAATACAGCCAGTACTACCCACTAAAACCCAACAAAACCTTCCCCCGTCTTAATGGGGCGTCGCAGGATCGCTTACGCATTCAACTACGACGCCCCAACGGTAGGTCTGCCGAAGCAGACCACCATAACCATGGGGTTGCTCCACAGTCCACTCTGCTATATCAGAGAAGTACCAGGAGCAACCCACATGGTACACCGCCCCCCGAAGAGGCCACCTCCCACCGCCCACCGAAGTGGGCAACCTCCCTGTGCGTTTCTTAGCTTCGCGCCTGGTTGGATTGCCGGGCACTACTGAGCCCCTCCACCACGACAAGGTGAACGCACGTTGGGGGGATAATAGTAGGTTCCTAGTCCGACATTAAATTCCATTGTTTTAAGTCAAAAATCATATTCTGTATACATTCCACCAGACAATGGTACCTCAGAGGTGACGCGCTTGTTTGAGAAACCAAGTGAAGCGGGTTCAAATCCCGGCTCTCTCACCTCTGATATTTTTATATGCGAATTATTTACAACGTGACTACCAACCTATATATCTTACGGTGAAGGAAAACATCGTGAGGAATTCTGCATGTCTGAGAGAACCTAGCAAGTTTTCAAAAGACATGTGAAGTCCGCCAACTCGCACTTGGCCAGCGTGGTGGACTATGGCCTGATCCCCCTCGTATTGAAAGGAGGCCCGTGAATAGCAGCGGGACGTTAAAGTTGTTGAACACATGTCTACTACTGTTTACAACTACTGCAACTTTTTCTGTCCATTTCAACCTACATAGGTATATTTAAATAATATACTCGTAGATAAAATAAAACATTATATTTTGCTCACCAGGTTTTATATTATGATCATAGCTGTTAGACTCAAGACGTTGCGTGCTTCCAGTTGACGTCGACGGTGTAATGGTGCAACCTGTTGAACTTCCGTTTCCTTAAAACAAAAACAACAACAATAATTAATTAAGAAATCAACTCCTGACCGATTCAGGCCATTGTGAGCCACATAAGCCATAGTCTTGCTGAGACTAGCCAACTAAATACAACACCAAACCAAACACTCTCTATTTTTGTCTGTTTTAGTACTCTTTGTCCTATAAGAAATCAGGCGCAGGACCGGCAGCTAACGGCAGGCAGTATTGCCTGAGAGAGAAGCGCTAACCTTCCAACTCCGGGCTACTACGGAGACTTTCTTAACAAAACGACTCAATAATTAAACTTGGCCCGACCGGACTTCAACCCAGAACCTCCGGATTTGCAGGCGTACATGCAAGCCTCTAAGACCACGGAGGCAGTTAAAAAAATACATATACATAAATAAATAAAATTGAAGTGTCTGTTTATAATGTCAAAATAGTAGCTTTTTAGTAAATGCGTACCTATAACTTTTATATACTGTAGGCACTTAAGAGAAAAAATCAATTCTTAAATTTTTGTGTGTTTAAGTATTCCAGCTTATCTCCAAAGCGGCTGGACTGATTTTGACCGTACTAACTTTACTTACTTTTATTTTAGAAAGAATTAGTATTCAGCCAAAAAAAATAAAATAAAACCCATACTACTACCAATTGCAAAGAACTTCTGTAAAAACGCACCCAAAATAACCGCTGTATAAACCTTTCGTCAGTTCTGAAGCTTCTCTCTAAACTGGTAGTAGACTCATGACGTTCAATAAAAAAATGTAATATATTAATGCTGAATAAAATATTTTGAATTTGAAGGTAAGTCTCTAGTTAATTAATATGAACATACCATTAGCCAAAGTGTACGCATGATGCGGTTCCTCCACGGACAGCTGCAGCCCGACGCCGGGCCGCATGCGGGGCACGACCGTGGCCACCACCGGCACTCGTATCTGCACCGCCGTGTCCGCTGGCGGCGACTCTATGTCTATCACCTGAGATACACGTTCTTATCTCAGACTATGGAATGATATGTCCAATGTATATATCATTCCTGTCAAGTAATAAAAAAAATAATAGGTTAGCAATAATTAGTTTTTTTGTTAGGTTTTGTAAGTTTTTTTGCTGTTTTTTTCCTATTTTTTTACTGCTCATTAACATGATATGTACATATATTAGTGGAAACTTTATTGGTGTGTGTACAATCTTTTATGTATTTTCTGTAAGTGTTTTAAATACTGTTTGTTTCCCAAAAACAAATAAATAAGGTAAAAAAGAGTGTTAAATAATGTTTTTAAAATAATATTATATAATGTTTTAAAACAATACATAATAATAATGTTCACAGAATATTTATTACTGTGACAAGGAAGTAAATGTTAATAAATAAATTGGTAACGGATTATATTCTATTATGGAAAAAATAAGCTGTTATTATGCTTTAAAAATACAAAATAAAATTATTTTATTTTTTATTTCGTATTTTCTTCTTAGAAATTGTAAATAAATGACTAATTGTACCTGTATAAAATTTGCCTTATTTTTTAAAGAAATCATTCTGTAAGGCAAAATCGAGAATGATAGTATAAACAGCATTTTGAATTTTAAATCGTTGAAAACTAAAGCAAAATGATAGTTTTTAGATTCACTGACTTCTGACTCAGTAGAATTATCTTCGCTATTCAGAATTATTTTGCCACCAATTTTCAAATCTTCTGCAGTTGCAGGCACTAGCATCTGAAAAATTATTCCATTCCATAAAAAAACACTTTCGAACATTCTATAAAAAAAATATCATTATTATTTAAAAAAAAACATTTTTACTAACTTTTATTTGCATTTTCATCGAAATCAATTTGAGAGGAAAAAGGACACAAACGGATTTATTAACTTTTACATTCATAATACTGTTATCGATATATGTATAGTAACTTATTTCTTCAAACCACTTGTTGTACTTTACGTATCTTAGTGTTATTTTAAGAGTATTTTTCCTTTATTTTAAAAACAAATCTTCTAAGATTGACATATATTTACATGAAGATAAAATACATTTTTTCGGCATTTTTGTACTACATGGTTATACAAATAAAATTAACAATTATAAGTCAATAATAATTCTGTATTAAATAATTTCTTTAAATTGGTCGTTTGAACAAATAAGCACAGAGAGAAGACGATATGTATTTGTAAACATACTAACTTGTTTTCCACCAGGCAGTTTAGTATCAACCACTTTTACTAAAACTGGTGTATTATTATCCGATTTTAATAGTGCGAAGGGGGTTTGTCTTGTAGCTAGAGCCACTCCCATATGATAAGTCTTTATGGGGTCTACAATTACCCCATTACTTCCCCATGGGTTCTCATTACATATATCCCAATCTAATTTGGATATATCCCAAGAAGGTTTCGGCCAAAGCATCGGTGGTTCTAGGGGTATAAATGGTACTGTTGAAGTTACTTCACATTGTTCTGTAGATGGTCTGGAATGAGTAGTCGAATATATAACAATGATAACATATTGATGTTTATTACGTATATATAACAAAACTGAGCTGTTTGTTCGTAAGATCACTATTTAAGAGCCACAGGTTTGGATAGGTTAATTTTTATTTAAAAACGTTTATAACAATTCGAATAAGGTGGCGTGGAAAATTGGGTAGGATTTTTGTATAAACAATTTGTATTTATTTAAAAACAGTATTTAAACATAAACAGGACAAAGACTGTTAGGGCAGTTAAATCGGGGGGCACGGTAGTGCCCCCGCCGAGTAATATTTACACGAACGTTAGTAGTAATTAATCTATACTAATACAAGAAGAATATATCTGTATAAATCTACTAATATATCTGTTTGTCCGTCTCGTTCCTAAAATACAAATCTAATTATGATGAGACGGTTGAGTCACGAAGATTTCTGACATACTTCAACTAAGCAAAACAAAAATTACACTTTAAATATTAACTGAAAGATATTAAAATAAATAACAACTTCCTACATTCCTTTATATGTTTCAACGAAAACCAATTTTTTATATTAAAAGTACAATTTTTTTTCAACATAATCAATGTAACGTGATTTTATTACATAAAACATATTAAATAAAATGCATTGGTCTCGTATTTACCTCGTAGAGTCAGCTTGAGTCTCTGTAGTAGGTCGGAGAGCTCTCACAGTGTTGCTATTTTTAGAATTATTTACAAAATTTTCGTCTGGATGCGCCTGTTTGAAATGTATACTTTCAAATTACACTTTTTATTTTAATTTCAATTTTAAATTTTTGTTACATACCCGCTTGGTGAATATTTCGATAAGAAATAAGCCGTAGGCATTAGATTATAGTAAATACAAGCTAATATAGAGAAAATCTATTACACCTAATAAAATAGTACATAAGTAAAATAGTACAAAGCGAAATTTGTACATGAAATATTTTTTTGAAACAATGACTAGTGTATACAGAATAAAGATCCCATAACAAAAATTACTGAAATTTTTGTCTGCTTGTCTGTATATCTGTGCGCATTTCACGCAAAGAGTACTTGACCGACATTAACAAAGTTTTGTGTAAATATTATTCATTACTCGGGTCAACATAAAGAATATCTTTTCTTACAGGAAAATCTTTCATTCCCGCGAGAAAACACAATAACTGGTTCGACTCGTCCTTTGAATTTACTATATATAAAAGAAAAGTATAGGTATCAAAAAGGCCTTCAGAAAAGTGTTTATCTATAATATAAAGTTTTTATCATAGATATCAAGAATCGTTTAGGTGCATTCCTAGGTACGTCTTAAATATTTAAGGCGAGAAGAAGTGAGGGTACGCTAGTTATAAATAAGAGGATAGAATATAAAAACTTATTATTATAATGAAATTAGTATTAGTAAAAATATCACTAAAATCTAAAAAAAAACCTGTTTTCTTACCTTATTCTTATGACAGACGAGATTCGATTGCTGGTTGAATCCCTTCATGCAGATGTTGCAGCGATATGGACGCTCGTTCGTGTGAGTAAACAGATGATTGCGAAGGTTACCTACAATTATTTTGTTATAATCTGTTAAGTTGGCATTTTGTTCTAAATAGTAAAGTCAAAAATCTATTTGGAGTGGGTTCGATTATTGTTCAAAGAAAATTGATAAATACATTATCGTTTTGGATAACATTACTTTGTGCGTGTACATGTGGAAACATTTTCTAATTAATCTCCTTGTAAACGGCTTGACTGATTTTGATGATAATTTTTGTACTGATATGGATTATTTTAGCTATAGTATAGTCGCCACTTTTATTAAGATTTTTTATGTTCCGTCGGAACAATGTATGTGGCAGTGTGTGTAGTATTGAGTTCGCTTCTCATATTTAGTAAAATATTTTGTATTCTTTTATCTATTTATTTAAAAATGATAACAATATAACGAATATGTGACATGCCTTTTCTTGACAAAAATTAAATTAGATTATAGAATATCTTATTTCATTTGGCAGTTTTTTTTTGATAAATATTAAATATATAAAGTGAAAAAAAAACACAAATTTTAAAAACAAGTCTTGAATATACCTAGTTATAAAAGTACTTTTTTTTACTTAAAATATTTTTGTTTAAAAAGAAAATATTTTTGAAGGGTAACTAAACACAATCAATAAAGGAATAGGATATAGGATAAAAATAAAAACCTTTTTGGTGGAAGCCTTTGGGACAGAGGTGGCATTTGTAAGGTTTTTCATTGGAATGCGTCTTGCGATGGGAGATGAGAGTCGATACACGATTAAACGTTTTATAACATACCTGGATATATTGTACTTATGTTATTGATAATTTATTTAATTATGATTACAGTACATTGAGTAAAAACAGATCAATTATGTACATGAGATTATAAATATTATACATATATTTTTGTATGAGATAGTTGATACACTACACATGTATAGATTTAAACACATACATATTATAAATATAAACACCCATGACTGGAGTACAAGCATTCGTGCTCATCACACAAATGAATGTCCCCAGCGGGACTCAAACCCGCGACCGCTGACACAACAAGTAGGGTCACTACAAACTGAGCCAAACGTGTCGTTAAATATTGTATATATTATAATAATTTGGCATTAAGACTATAAAACACAAATCTTACAAAACAACTCTGTTAGATGTACCTAAATATATTCGTAACTATGTTTTATGAAAACAAAACGTTTTATCCCACTAGTTAGTTTACAAAATATGTAAAATTACTGGACGTTCTTAAGTGGATTGGTTGAAGATAGTTGTTTTATAAAAAACCTGATTTTATAATCCTACACAATATAATATGTTTTTGACATTAACACTTAACTATAGGGATTGGCGAAAATCGCTAAAAGATGTCACACTAGACACTAATGACAGCAAAAAATGTCATCATCATTAGATATATACTTTCTAGCTAGATTATAATACAAATTTATTAATACTTGCTTATTATAGATTTACGCGAATATTTGAAAATAAAAAAAAAATCATTTTTGTGTTCCTTTCGGAAAAAAAATATCCAAAATATATACATATGTATATATGTATGTATGTATATACATTATACATACTAATAATAACTATTATTAATTCTCATATCCTAGGTCTTATATATCTTCAATCTACATACTGACCTCACAGGAGTAAGGTCTGGCAGCGGAATGTATGGCGCGATGTTGACTCAGAGTGGAGAGCTGCCGAAAGCTCTTGGAGCACGCGTCGCAATGGAAGTTCCTCTCGTCGGTGTGTGTTGGTAAGTGTCGCATTAACGTGTATTGGTGTTGGAATTCTCTACCACCTGACAAATTAGTAATAAACTTACAAAAACCCGACCAAGTGCGAGTCGGAGTCGCGCACGAAGGGTTCCATACCATTATCTATAAAAACGGCAAAAAAAGTCACGTTTTTTTCACGGGGGCCCCCCTTAAATATTTGTTTTATCGGCAAAAAATTACGTTTGTTGTAATCGAGCCCCCTTAAAAATTATTTTATTCTGTTTTTTAGTATTTATTGTTATAGCGGCAACAGAAATACATGTCCTGTTTTACCCTTTCAGTAAGGAACCCTAATTAAAATGTCCTCAAAATAACCTTTGAAGTAAGGAGACCCTTAAGTTATTGCATTAATTAAAAAAAATCTTTAAATTCGATCCACTAAAGATATCGCGTAATATATACAGAAAATATATCGGAGTGAGTTAATCCATTTATTAAAAATAATATTTGAATTCGATTCACAATACATATATAATAATATCTTATATCTTAACATATACAAAAACATATAAGAACGGAGAGCTTCCTCCTTTTAGACGTAGGTAAGTTAATTTTTAGTGTATAATTAAAATTTGAAATAAATTAATTCTATGTATTGTAATAATTGTAATTAAATAATTACGTTACAAAGTTACTAATAGAAATTAATTGTAGAGTCTTACTAAATGATTTAAATTATTTTACTACTAGCGACTTACTCTCTGTTCGCTCGGGTACGTTCCTAGGTACGTGGATTTTGTTCACAATTTCATGTTTTTTTTTGAGTGGAACCCTATTTTTTTTGTTAAATAAATATGCCATAAGTTACTTATAACATTAGCTATCTGCCAGTGAAAATCCCGTCAAAATCAGTCCAGCCGTTTCGGAGATTAGCCAGAGCAAATACACGGACAGATAGACAGACAAAAATTTTATAAACTGCGTTTTTCTTATAGGTACCGTATATTTCATATGAATTTAGTAAAAAGCTGTTATTTTGACTTTATAAACACACGATTCGATTTTATTTATCTGTATAGATTAGCGACTTTCCTTCGCTTCGATCGGGCACGTCCCTAAGCGCCTTAGTATACAGTAAAGTGATTAGAGTAATCTAATTTTTTTAGAGATAATCTCTACCAGACAACTATTGCTGATTATTTATAGGTTAGGAGGGATTTGGAGCTCAATTTTTATATAAACTTATATTATTTAATAAATCAAACATTAATTATTTAATATTATAAAGAATGTACTTTAAAAAATGGTATATTTTTCTTTACAGAAAATCATAGGGTTCATCTCTTGGCATATATCGCAATATTATAAACTAGATGGCGCTAATAGTACTTTAAAACGCGCTATGGTTTGGTTCACGAAATTTTCATTGCAGTTTTCTCGATGTTTTATTAAAAATAGGAGTGGTACATTAAAAATATATGAATAAGAGTCATAGATATTATTTTTAGTTAGATTTGTACATTATTTGTATTATTTATACATAAGTGTAAATTATATTTTAGTTTCTTTATAAATTAAATTATTTAATAATTTAAAAAATATCTCGTTCAAAATATATTATATATATTCAATGTATAATATATTAAAAAAAGGTTAAAATGAAATAAAATTATAATACGTATATAATAAAAAAAAGTAACTCACATATACCACATTCCCACAGTTTCACTGTCCGACCGTGTCTTTTAACGTACTTAACGTAGTGGTATCTCGAGCGAGGGTCAGCTTTGTCGACTTTGTGATTGTTACGACCTTTAGTCCCACCAGTCAACAAACCTATAAATATTAAGAAATTGTTAATTAAAACACTTTCTTATTATAATTTTAAAATAATGATCATGATTGCTAAAGTATTCGAAACTTCGGGAACCAAAAATCAAAAGAAATCCGCGAGAAACACCCGGAAAGATATTTTTATTTAAAAATACAAGTTTTTATGTCTTAGTACTAAGTAATTTTATAAGTCTAAAAACTTTACATTTAATACCTAAATTTAGTAACATATGAATATAATACCTATATTAAAAAAACTGTGGTCTAAAATGAACATTTCACTAAATTATTTCAATTGCTCTCTTTTTTCGGATCCATATTTTAACGATTTCAAAACAAGGAGGAAGATGAACGGTTGTATATTTTGTATGTTAAGACCTATGAGCTCCATCAATAGTGTACCGATTTTAATGTTTTTTTCTTTCTTAAATAACACATTATAGGTACCTCAAGAAGACTAGCGTCATATATATATATATATATATATATATATATATATATATATATATATATATATATATATATATATTTATTTTAATCTACCCCTAAGGTGAAATATATTACTTTTAAATGAATATTGTAATAATCATATTTTTTTTAAGTATACATACAAATATATGTTAATATTTATTATTCTACGATTACATTAAAATATGATTAAACTTACTCGAGGAACTTGTTGCAGGATTTCCTAAAGAAGTAGACGACACCAGAGACGAGTTGTAAGGCTTATTTTGAAACGTTAGTCCATTCTTGATAGATTCGAACGTAGAGCTAGCATCAGCTTCCTAATAATTAGTTTAGTTAATTTTTACATTCAAAGTCAAGCTCAACTCAAGCTTCGCTCGGGTTTGTCCCTAGCTTGCTTCTCCATACAAACTTTCATCCCTATTTTTACCCCCTTATGGGATGATCTCCGGGATAAAAACTATCCTATGTCCTTCCCAGGGTCTCATACTATCTTCTCAATAAATTTCATCTAAATCGGTTCAGTGGGTCCAGCATTACCCCCTACAAACTCACAAACTTTACCTCTTTATAATACCTATTAGTATAAATAATATACTCGTACAATCCCTTTTTAATAAATTTATAATGAACAAATGTAATTTAGAACTAAGGTAAATGTAGTGATTAATTAAAATAAACACGCCATGCACAGCAATAAATAATACAATAAATTTGATACTACTTATTTCTACTTGCTATATCTTAATTACCAGATAAAATTATAATTTAATTTTATTATTATTTATTATTATTTATTACCTTCATGTCTTTACTGAGGGCAGCGTCAAGATCTTTTTCAAAAGCCGTTTGTCCTGTTGATCCAAATCCTGGTTCAGAGATGAGCGATGCAATGTTCCCATCCTCCTCCGTCCACGCGAATAAACGAGGTACTTCGAGCTTCAAAAAAGAGTAGAAGTAAATACAAAAAAAAAACTTAATAAAAATATAAGATATTTTTTATTGTAAAAAAATATCGTATGTAATAAAAAAACACTATATGTAATAATCATTAGAAGGTAAAGCAAATTTATTGGTGTGAGTAATTTGAAGTACCTAGTAAAAGCATTATTTTAAATGTAATTTTAGCGTTTGTTTTATCCAAGACTGTCCAAACTAGCGACTTACCTCGCTCCGCTCTGTTTCGTTCCTGCTTATGTTTGTATGTTTACTATCGATTTCTCAGAAATGAGATATTTTCCTCTTCAGTGGTTTTCTCGTGATGTGACAAACAGAGACAAAAAATCTAAAAACTATAGATTCGGCCTCTATATTGATAATAATAAGGTCTATTTCAATAAGATTTTCCAAAAAAATTTAATGTACAGATTTGACTCAGTTACAATTTTATTATGTACTCGCTTCGCTCGGGTTCGTTCCTAGAGTATGTATACAACTTCCCTATTTGAATCGGATATTATTAAATTTTTCATTGGTTTTAATTTTTTTCGTGGTGACCATATTTTTTTTTTTGAAATAAAAGTAAGTTAGCTTAAGTTATTCCTTTTTACATCAACTATCTGCCAGCGAAAGTCCCGTCAAAATCGGTTTAGTCATTTCAGAGATTAGCTGGAACAAACAGACATACAGACATACAGACAAAAATTGTAAAAAATGTTGTTTTGGTATATGTATCGTGTATACATCCATATGCATTTAGTAAAAAGCTGTTATTTTGACATTTCAAACAGACACTTCAATTTAATTTATCTTTATAGATTTATTTTGAGTTATGTTACCATCGTATAAATATTGACAAATATTGACATTAATATTTACGATACTAACGTCACTCAATTGTTTTGCCTTCCCGGAACCTCTGCACTAACACTTAAACTTTATCGTATGGTATTAAAGTTCAAATTGACTTTTAAGTATTATTTATTACGAATTTTTTGTATGGGAGTATAGAAAAGTGTTGTTTTTAAACTTTTTCAGGCAATTTTTTTAAATTTTTCTCACCGTAAGAACCATCCTCGTACTTCAACGAATATTCTAAAAAAAGAATTAGCGAAATCGGTTTAGCTGCTCTCGAGATTTGCGCTTACCAATACATTCAGCGATTCATTTTTATATTATAAGATAATGTAGGTATAGATGGCATAATATTTTCTTAGATTTACGCGAATATTTGACATCTTAAATCAAACATTTTTTTTATATTTTCGCGATTTTATTCTGATTTTGGTTTACGACGACGACAATAGAGAAAAAAGATAAAATTGTTTAAGTAATTAAAAGAATAGCCAAATTAATTTCACTCACGTCATTACGACTCGTATTAGACAGTAGAGGCTCACTTCCAAAATATTTCCTGTCATACTTGTTAATAAGACACACTTCTCGAATGCTGCAAAATTAAAAATCATTTGTCAGCACTTAAATTACATATTATATATACTTTAATTCGACGTAACTAGCTAACTACCCTTCGAAAATATCTGATTAGGTATCTATTCTAAATGAAAACCCCCGTTTAGTTATTTTTTACATTTCAGTGCCTGGAAGTCTTTTTTTTAAGTTTTTATGAATTGTAGGAATTATTTTAAAGTTTGAGTAGTGATATCTTACTTTAGCAACGATTGAGTGAAAGGTTCCAGGCATGATGAGAAAGTACAACGCTTTCAGGCACCTATTATTTTATATTTACTTATAACTTTACAATTTGTGCCTTCTGAGGTGGACGGAGAAGGACGAGATTGTTTAAACCCATAAATAACACATGTGATTCAACCATGTCAATCTACATTATTTACAAAACAATTTGCATGCGCAAATAGCAACACTCGGTTAACGAATGTTTGATAAACCTAGTTTCATAGACACAGTGTAATTGGTCAGGAGGATCTTATTACTAGAAATAAACCTAGGACTTCTTGGTTACTAGATTAGATATGTATACAGTTAATGTTATTGAGTAATTTAATTGAAATTCATTTTACAATATTTTTAATAGGAGAAAATTTATAATTCACATTTTATTATAAAATTTATAATTTCAAATTGTGATTGTGAAAATACTAAATTGTTTTTATTATACCACTAGCGACTCACCCTCGCTATGTTCGGATTTGTCTCTAGTTACATTTTAACGTTTAGTATAGATTTCTCGGAGATATTTTCCACTAGTAAAAAGTTATATGTTGACTCGGAAAACCAGCTATCATCACACCAAATTTCATCAAAATCCTTCCAGTGGTTTTCCGTGATGCAGTCACAGACAGACAGACAAAAATTCTATAAACTATAGATTCGGCCTCTGTATCGATAATAATGTCTATTTCAATAAGTTTTTCAAAAAATAAATATAATGTACAGATTTGGCTTAGTTACAATTTAATTATATGTGTAAGATATAGATTAATAATTATTTTCATAAATAACAATAACAAAACAGCCGACCTTATTATCTCATCTCCCGGCCGCATTAGGCTGCTTTCTTTTATTTCGTCGTCTGAGAACATAATTTATTTTTTGCAATTCAATTATTTTTGGACAAAAAACAGGCGCACGTCAAACTTTCCGTTTTTCGATAGCTCTTGTTATTTATGTCTCTATGGCCACGGATTCTTAATTTATATTATTATTATTTTTCAAAGCAAATGGCGTCCAAATCATTGCTGGCTGATATGTCTCGTATATAGAACGGTTCCATAGTATGACCTCATTTGAACTTTTTGAGTGCAATAACCTTGTGGTCATAGATATAAAAAAATAATTAAAATTCACTAAATAAAGAATCTCTTTATTATTCTCTCTTAATTTAAAAAAATATAAATATTTTTTTATTTATTAAAGTATATATGAAACAAAATAACGTATTTGTTTTCATTTATTAAAAATTTGTACTTAAAAACTACAGATAATAAATATACTTAATAGTGAAAATATCACTGTTGTTACTGTATTAATAATAAAGTAATAAATATCTTTTGTAAGGTTGCATTTTTATATATTTAGCGTTTTAATAGAAAATAATATATTTGATTAATTTGTAATGATTTATATAAGGCATTTAGTTATGTGACTTTGGCCGATAGGAATGTCTTAAAAAAAATAAAAAAAGGGCGCGGATATTCGTTGAATCGTTTGTTTTCCCGCGCTTTGGCACAGATGTCGACGGGGTACTACCCTGTGCCTGTAGTGAGAGTGACTAGTCACGAATTGTTTGTAATGCTGAAAATTATGGTTGTAGATTATGTAACTCACTGACGATTATAAAAGTACTGAATATAAGCATATAGGTAAGCATACCAAGGAATATCTCGAAGTTTTATACTTTATACAGGTTCCCCTATATTTTTTTGTAACTTTTTTTCTTTTAATGGTTCTCCATTTTTCAAAAGCTTTGCTTCAAACATGGTTACGAGATGGACTAAGGTTTTTTTCGTCTCAACAGTCATATGTTGTATAGAATTTCGACCACGAAATACCGTAACAGACTCGTACAGCAGATATCACTTTATAATTAAATCCAACTGATCACATTAAATAAATAAAGAAAGGAAACGAATATCTTTCAGTATATTCTAAGTGGTTTGTTAACGTCTAAGTGGTCTGCTCATTTCCAGCGTACTCGAAGGTCGAGTGCACTCAAGTTGCCAGTGTTTGAGGGTCTGGAGGATAAAAATCCTATAATAACTCTTAAACTTGGATTACTTGCCTTGTAAGTTTTCATGCTTGTTTATTTTTTAAATGCAACACTGACTTTGTTGTGGATCTATCCGATATGTAATTAATTAATGCTGTAATTTTTTAAGTGTACTTTTACATATTTTATGAATAGACACGTGTAGCTGTTTGTAGTGGTGGATGTCATGTATACTAATATTATAAAGAGGCAGAGTTTTTTTGTTACTTTGAACGCGATAATCTCAGGAGCTACATAGCCCGTTTATTGAGGAAGGCTATAGGTTATATATCATCCCGGAAAATGTACGGTTCCCGTGGTATAGATTTATTTTTGTCTAGGGACGAACCCGAAGCGAAGCTAATAGTATGTGATGGGTATTGCTTATTCAGCCAGAGGTTGAAATTTTGTTGCCTATATATCGTGCCACCTAGTAACACATATCGTCAATGCTGTTAAAATTATTTTATAGATACCTATATAAATAAACAATATAAGTTTTCGTTAAAACACACAGTTTGTACTCTCTTTTATGACGTGACTTCCATTATCCATATTGTTATTACAATAATATTATTTTATTTGCCATAGTAAAACCCTCTGTTCAGTTTCGTAGTGGACGAAAACAGGCTGATGATAATTATTTTTACAAAGGTATTAAGTATAAAGTTAAGTAAAGTAAGGTATCAATAATAAAATATGTATTTTTGAAATTGAAAAAATGCCTTTTATTTATCATGTAAATCTTAACCTTTTAATGTAATACAAAAGCACCCATATACCTATATTTAGGTACATATATCTATCCTTTGGTGTACCTAGTATCGGATATTAGAACCAATATAATATATATATATATATATATATTTCGCCTATGAAAAATTAAAACCGAGCAACGCCATGTGAGTAACCTAGTATACATATAATTAAACACATGTTATATCACGCTTCGAATATAAGATCAGTGGAAATTGCTACGAGTAAAATCTTGACTTGATTGAAATTCCATACGTGCAGTCTAACGTGGGCGTTAATTTGCTTTGTTACCGTGTTACTTAAGTGGAGGGGTCAAACATTCGTAAGGATTGTAAAAAGCCTTTACATCAAATTGTTCAAACAGTTCTGTGACACAGTATCGTCCTTTATTCGATTTTCCATTTATTTTTTTATACTGCCATGAGTTTCTACTTATCTAAATGCTTGTTCTCGATAATATCTATAAGGTTATTCGTATTCAAATATTTTGAGTACGAAAAAATTAATATTCGTTTTATTTCCGGTCGTTAAAAAATATGTAAAATGGCCTGACCTCGTCCTTTAGTTAAACTTTCTCAAATATCCTACAACAGTTATTTGACTAGAGAACCCTAATAACTATATTTTTAGATTTTCGCGAATATTTGACGTTTTAAATAAAAACTATCTTTTCGGATATTTTTTTGCAAATTTATTTCGATTTTTGGCTCCCGACGTTTCGAATCCCGTGACCATCATTGCTATAAAGCATTATTTATTATATTAAGCAAGGCAAAAAGTAATTTTTAGTAGGTATACAATGAAAATTTGAAAGTGCGAGTCTAATTCGCACACTGAGGGTTCCAGGGGAGGGGTAAAAAATATCCAGCCCCAAAAAACTAAAATTTAGTATACTTAAACATTTTTTTAGCTGCAACTACTTTGAATTTCCCACATAAATATTATATTTGTACTTTTTAATAATTTCTCAATCAGAAAGAAATTACATTAAAAATATTGATATAGGCTTCATTCAAATTAATAATGATTATAAAAAAATCACCTTATTTAAATCACACGCATGTTCCCCATTATTGAAGCTCTCATATATTTTTTAAATTCATTCAGTCTTAAACCATACCGTATATAATATAAGCACTCATTGTTAGACTATTATTATTTTAAGTGGATGGTTTATTTTTTTGCGCCCTCTGTTAACATATTACAAAACTACGATGTTTGTGCAATAAATGTTATAGCGCCATCTAGTTGATTCATGACGAACTGCAATAGCATTCAGTAAGTACACTACGTATTTTAGAAGTTACTCCATAAGTTTGCCTTCTAGATCTACAGTAATATACTAGATGGCGATGTTCGATAAAAATATTGTTTGATCGAAACTAATATTTCCAAATTCCAAATAAACAGTGAATACGTCATATCAAAATTTTACATTTTAAAAATAATTCAGCAAGTATTTAGAGCCACACGTACGTAAATCCTTAATTTGATTTGAATGTATTAAAGAAAAATAATAATTTAAATAGTGTTTTATATGTCATTTTTTAATATATGAAAAAGAACCGTAATTAATGTGATGCTAGGTTTGATATTAAACGGTCTAAAATTGCTAAACTTCTAAGAAGTTCTATAGTAGTTTAATAGATGGCGCTGTTTCCGAAAATAATAATAAAGAGATATTTTGAACTAAAAGATTAACTAATTGTTTAAACTAATTGTAAAACTATACATATAATAAAATTCTAAGTGAGTCGAATTTGTATATTTATTGGAAAATCTTATTGATATACCTATTTATTACCTAGTCATTATTATCGATACAGAGGCCGAATCTATAGTTTTTAGAATATTTGTCTGTCTGGGAACGCATCACGAGAACACCACTGGACAGATTTTTAAGACATGAACCACTTAAGACAGAGGGAAACAAGAAAGGGGGAGGTTCTGTTATATTTTAGTATGTAGTTGAGTCCCACATAACCACTTATATGTATACGAAAGTGGTATACGTAAATGCATTTCCCAACATTTAAAAAAAAACAGACATAAGCTTACAATATTTAAAAATAAATGCAAATGAATTTTACAAGTTATCAGACGTTTATCTAATATTTAACATTCTGTCACATAGCCCTGTCATATCACTAAAGTACAAAGCTTGCAAAGTTCTAAGCGTTATTAGGCCGGTGATCAATTATAAGTGTAATCCTGGGAG